CCTCGCTATATATTTTAATATCTCGGGAGATAAGTAAGTATTAATAATTATAAGTAACATTTCGTTTATAAATAATAAAAAAACCTAAAAATCTTTTTAAAAATATATAATCTCTCTTTTTAATAAACTTATTTAATAAAAAGCTATAAAATAAAATATAATAACGATTTTAATAACTAAGGCCGAATTACTTAGTTTAAAACATATTATTAAAAAGATATTTATTTTAAAACGCCTTTTTAATAATATATTATTTAAACTCGGGGACATTTAAAAAGTTTATTATAATAATTATTAAATAATAAGGCTTATAATAAAAAAAGGGGAACATATCTTAACTCGCCTTTGCTACGTTAATATCCAAAATATATAACTATATTAAAAATATTTAAAAAACTTATTTAAAATAGTCTATATATTAATAAATAAAATACTAATTAATAGTCTTATAAAACGCGTCTTATAAATAAAGTTTAAATCCTTAGTATTACTTTTAAATATAAAAAATATATAAAAAATAGTTATATAAAACGAGGGAATACTAAAGAAGTAATAAAACGCCCCGGGGGGCCTAAGTTTTTAATTTATAAACGTAGCCTATAACTAAAAAATATAAAATTATTTTAATAACCCCGTTAAGTTATTATAAAAAGATTATTTATTTAAAAAAATAAGCGCATATTTATTTAAAAAAAACTTTAATATGAGTATTACGTTTGCGGGGATATAAATACTAACGAGGGTATTAATTTTAATTTAAATATTATTAATTTTTATATACGAAGTAGCTAGTACTTTTTCTTCCTTAATAAGCTCTTTTAACTAAGCCTTAAATATAAAAAAAGTATTTATAAACGCTTCTCTTACTAAAGCCTCGTTTATATAAATTACTTTATTTTTAACTTTATTTAATAACCCGTTAGTTACTAAGACCTTATATAACGCCGCTATTATGTAAATTAAATTTTAAAAATAATTAATAATTAATTTAAAATAACGAATATATATAAAAACTAACTTTTTATAAAATCTCTACTAAATTCTTTTTTTTTATTTACTTAAAATATAAAAACTTCTTATTTAACTTGCGTATACGCTCCTAAAAAAAAATATAGCCGGACTTTTTATTAGCTTAATAATATATATATTTATTATTAATACTTAAGCTTAAAAAATACTACCCCTCTATTCGTTTACTAAGGGCGCTTTTAATATAACTTAAGTATTTAATACCGAACAATAATAATACCTACTTAAAAAATCCTTTAATACTAGGGGTACTAGAGGGGTACGTTATTAAAAATTAGAATTATAAATAATAATATTAAAAAAAAAATATTATATTTATAAAAAACTACTTTATGCCCGCTAAGAGGGAATAAAAAAGGGGGTTCTAAACTACTTTTACTTCTACTTACTTCTTAAGTAATCTCTTTTTTAATTAAAAAGCTATTACTTATAAATAAGAACGTTAATAAGTTTAAAAATAAAATTATAATATAATATTATTACTTAGCTAACTAAAGTTTAATATAAAAAAAATATTACTTATTTATAAATAAATTATTATTATAAATAAGGGAGCTATTACTCTTCTTTAAAATTATTTTAAAGTACTTAGCTTTACGTATTATGGTAATATGAGCGTACTTTTTAACCCTAATATATTTAGGTATTTATTTTAAATAATATTATTAACTACGATTCTTATTTCTATTAATAAATATGTGTATAAATATAAATATAAAAACAAAAAATAAAAGTATATATATATAATTAATATATAAATATAAGTTAAAAAAAAAAAAAAAAGTTAAAATAGTAAGTAGCTATAAAGAATTTATTTATTTACTTATTTTAAACCGTAAGCTAATTATTTAATTAATAAGAGGCTACCCCTCGGTCCTATTTATTATTAATAAAAAAGCCTCGAGATTATTTATAATAATAAACATAGTTAATAAATTATTACTTATTTACTTTATATTTATAACTTAGTGCATAGCGCGATTTATTTTATAATTCTTTTTATAAATAAATTTTTATATAGTATTATTTAAATTTATATATTTAGTAATACTTTTTATAACAATATGGGTAGTTTAGTATATTTTTTCTAAATAAGGATTTATCTAGGGGGGTATATTATAATAATTTTAATTATTTATAGCCTTATTATATATTATATAACCTTAGTTATATAATTACTTAAGGTTTATACTCGCTTATACTCTCTATTTTAGGGCGAACCTCGTGCTTATTTCTTACTTTTAATAGATAACCGTTCTCTATATTTAACGTTGATGCCCCTATTTGTGACTATACGACACAATGGTATCTCCAGAGTCTATAGAAACATCTTAAGCTGAGAGAGCTACTAACTCGTAGTTGCCGAAACCGTGTACCTAAACCTCTATTGCCCACGAACCTTAACTAAGTACGAAACTCTATTTCTTGTTTCCAACATCTAAAAAGACAAACAGTCAGCACTCTTCAGATTACCAAACATTGGTAAATTGAACAGCTTTCAACTTACTGAATTGGAAGTGGATAATATCACCATCTTGAACAACCTTCAAAGAAAAAGCAAAGAGATCAGCGATGCTAATTTGTTAGGGATTAGACTGGCTAAAACTCACATAAGACTTTCCTTCCTGGCGGTACTTGCCAGCAGCCTTGATGGGGCCCATGGACTTGCCGCCCTCGCAGAGGTCGTGGAAGTCCTGGTAGGCGACAACTTCAGCCTTGATGAAGCCCCTCTCAAAGTCGCTGTGGATGGCGCCGGCGGCTTGCGGAGCAAGGCAGTTCCTCGGGATCGTCCAGCATCTGATTTCCTTTTCACCCGCTGATAGAAAGGTCAGTACGGTCAGTCAGGGGCAGCAAACTGTAAACATACCAGTAAAGTAGTACTGCAGTCCAAGCTTCGTGAACCCTTCCGTCACAATCTTATCCAACTTGGACTTGACCTTGCTCTCCTTGAGGAACTCGTCCAGGGCGGCCGGGTCGTCCTTCAAGCTGTGCACCTTCTCCTCAAACTCGACAGAGAAGGGGATGATGTCGCGCGGGACGCCGCCGTGCTCGGTGACCCACTTGGCGATGGACGGGAGGTACTTGCTCTTTTGGCGGAGGTAGTCCTTCATTGTCAGGTTGACGAGGTAGATGACGGGCTTGGTGGTGATGAGCGACATCTTTTCGTTGATGAGGGCGATTTCGGCGGGGGTCCAGCTTCCGTCGCGGACTGGGGTGTTCTTCTCCAGCATCTAGTTTACGGTTGTAAGAATGTGACTGTTTCGAAACGGCGGATAATTTGAGCCTGGAAAGTTTGGACTTACAGCTTGGATCTTTGTCGTTGTCTCGGTGAAGAGAGGCAGCATCTTGTATTTGCCTCCTGCCTTCTTGACAATCAGTTCCTCAGCGACGATGGTCTTGGCCAGAATGTCTGAGAAGAGTGTAAGCCAAGTGAACCAGATTTTGACAGTACAAAATTACATACCAAGATCCTTCTTGCAAAGCTCATTTTGAATGGTTTCTAGTCAAGGGTTCAGTCAGTTTTCTCAACTTGAGAGACGTGCCAGAGTTGTCTGAACTAACCCAAGTCCCGGACGGGATCAACTGAGTCATCCACGTGCAAAACCTCGTCGTTGTCAAATGCTCTATTTACACGACACAAGTAAGTCACCACTCATCACGACGTAGCACTTTAGCCACAGACGATGGATACAGTACCTGACAATGTGGAACATGCCATCAACAGCCTGGATATGAGACAAGAAAGCGTTTCCAAGTCCCGCTCCCGTCGAAGCACCCTTGATCAACCCAGCAATGTCGGTGACCTGCAGGTACGCGGGGTACATGGAAGGCGGCTTCCAGAGATCACACAAAAAGTCCTACACAAACAGACACATTGCCTACGTTTCAGCCACAAGATTCTATTATGGTGGCAAAATTTCTCAACTCTCTCTCAACTTACATATCGAGCGTCGGGAACAGCACATCTCGCCTCGTTAGGCTCAATCGTACAAAAGGGGTAATTCTCCGCCGCGGCGCTCTGCTCGGTCAAGAGGTTGAAGAGACTCGACTTGCCCACGTTGGGCAGGCCGACGCAGCCCATCTTGAGGTTCTTGCTGACCCTGCCAAACGCCACGACATTGTCCTTGACAACTTCAATCTTTTTCGGAGGCATGGCGACGAACTGATTTTTTTTTTTTGACGAGCTGAATGTACTTGATCAACACACGAGAATGAAATTTCTACCAGAAAATTTCCCTCTTCGAGAGTTGTAAAAAGACAGATCCTGCGGGCAAACTTTTTTGAAAATGGCCTGATTATTCGATTTTAGGCCCACTTTAGAACAAGGGTTAAGGAAGATGCAGTTTTAGGGGTCCTTTTCTGGAAGGCGGCTCGTGCGGAATCGGTGTCTGGGGAAAATGACCAAAATAACCGCCCCACGCGCTGCTCTAAGCCCTCCAAGCCTCACAGTGAACCTGTACAAGGACTTCTCTGTTCACACATTGAAACATCAGAGTCTATTAATGATGATAAGCTACCTTACATGACACTATCTTGGACCATTTATCGACGGTAAGAGGCGACCTAGCTAAGTAGCTCTATTCAACGCGTTCAAATGATGTGGTTATCACCACCATCCAGAAGCAGAAGTGATATCGTAGATCTCAAGTACTTCAAGATAAGGACAAAATCTCCGTGCATGGACCTATTTGGGAAACTATGTTTAACACAGGAGAATTGCACCATTGATACTCGAGACTTTATTGAGTCATACGGCTGAAGGAAAAATACATTCTGTCAAGTTCGTGTAGAGGCTTCAATATCCACCTTGGTTCGCTGTTCATCAAAAACCGTCTCCCATGACGCCTTTCAACCCTGAAAATCGTTGCATTCCCGCTCAAAGCTGCGCTCATAGTTTCCAATGCCAGCCCGCTGTTCCGTATCATAATCCTGTAGTCCACTTGGTTCTGTTTTCTCCTGTTGTAAGAACATTACATCTCCTTCAAAAAATCATCAAACTCGGTCTTGGTTTTCATGTGTTGTGGAAGCAACATCCCCTCAAGTGCAGAGGCGATATTATGGAGAGCATCAAGTTGCTCCTGTTCAACCAACATGTAGATATAATGGTCCTTAATCATCTCCTCAGTCCAACGCTGATGACTATTGGGGTCGGATACGAGGTTACAGATTTGCTTCAGTCGCGCTGCGTAGTCCCGGAGCATCGCAGGGTCCAAATTGCTAAACTCGGCATGGGACAGCAACCCAATATGAGCTCTACCAGAGTCACTTTCAAGCCATTCCGAGCCGTTGTTGGTCAGGGCGAGGGACGCGGCGTTGACGGTAGACCTTAGGCACTGGACAACAGCGACGGCAGTCTCCGAAGCAGTCTGGGGAAGAAAGTGGTGGCTGATTGCGAGGACATGAATCGTATTCTGAACTTGATCCTTAAGTGCGTATAGGGCGTCTCGGACTTGGGATAGACGAGACGTGGGCCGTGCCGGGATACGACCTGAACGTCCCGGGCTGTTGGCGGAGTCTTCCGTGGTTTCTACCGGAAACTGCATGTTCTGTGTCCGGTAGCTGTTGAAGTCGCTTCATAACAGTCAGCCATGGATACGACGATGCCGGGAGACGATGACTTACGCTTGTATGATAGGCAGAAACTCTTGCATCTGCTTGTCCTGCTTGTCCAGTGCAGCAGCATACTTGTTCAAGCTCGCACGGATCCTTGCCTCTTCACCTGCCGGATGCTGCGGCCAGGCCCTGGCTTTTCTCCGAAGTCTTGCAAGAACAGTACGCAAAGAATCCATCCAAAGGGTGACGCTAGGGTCGAGCGGAATTTCCTTCTCAGCATTTGTATCCCATTGCGATGCGTAATCAGCGAGTATGGGACGAAGATCATTGATGTTCGCCATGAGTGCTTGACAACTGTTGGCGATGCTCGGCGCCTTGTCAAAGCCAGTCAGCTCCTTGCTGGTCCGGTTGAACGTGTCGAGGAGGTATTCGCCAAGTGACTCTAGCTTCTGGCTGATGATGGTAGGGTTCATCGAGGAGTCGTCCAAATCCAGGGTTTCGCCCAAGGTGCCTTCCGGTTTACTCGATGACTCAGCCTCGTCGGCGTCCTCGGCGCCCATTGTTAGGCGGCCGATGTCTCGATTCAGCTCCTCGATTTCCTTGCCGTTGCTTGGTTTTAGTGGCGGCGTTGGAGTTTGCTGCTTGTTCTGGTATGAGTTCCAGATTGGCTGAATGGCGTCATTGGGTAGGAGGGAATTGCCAAGCAAATCTAGGAGTTCTCGCTTCGGTGGCTGATCGCTGCTTGTTGCTGTTGAGCTAGAGGTTTGCTTGGCGGAAGTCGGGCGAGAATGATTCGCGTCTTCAGTCGCTGGAGAGCCGGCGGCGGCATTCTTCACTGCACCGGCAGTCGAAGATGGCTTATGGGTTGTGGTCGCCGTTGTGAGAGGGGCACTACCATCCTCGTCATCGGATGAGAGCGACACGACAGAGTAGTCATCGGCGACCTCCTCCCACTCTTCCAAACCCTGTTTGACAGGGCTTTGGACTCCAGTCATCATGTATTCGGGATCGACTTAGGATCGGCTGGTATTGCTAGCGAAGCGAACGGAGAAACTAATGGAATCTGTCGGTGAGCAGATGTGCTTCAGGATGTTAGCAACTGATGGAGGAGGCAGCAGGATGCGACATGCAGGGAAGTGGCACTTCAACTACCTAATACTTGATGACAAGAGTATTCAGACGGTGCGCATGCATCCAAGCTATGTCGTGTCCGCAAAGAAGAGAGGTCGACGGAAACAGAATATTGTTACTGATGCCGGCACGACGATGCGAGACGTTGAGATGACGCGGATGGGGCTGCCGGAAGGAGCCTCAGGGAGGTGCAGCCTGCTGCAGGCGGCTTACGAAAGGCAGGGCAGATAAGGCAATCGTCGGGCCTCAGGTTGATGGTTATTGCGCAGCTGTTGATGCTGTAAGATAACAATCGCCCTCAACAGTTTACGCGTCTAGGCGAGGGGAATGAAGAGGGAAGAAGGATGACCTTGGCTAACTGGCTCAGGCTGGCACCTTGGGACCTTGGGTGACTCGTCAGGAGAGGTTGAATGCTGAGGTAGGCACCTAGGCGGCAGCCGCACCTTGAGGCCCGCTGAAGCTCCAACGTATCAGCAAGCTTATGCGGGGTTGATGCCGCCTGTCATGCCTGCTTTCGGTTCCGGGCGCCCTTCCTGCAGATCGTCCGCCCCGTCGCGGAAGGTCACTCACCTGCCCGTGCTTTGGCCTCGCGTATCTTATCTTATCAGTATATAATTCCGATAACGATAAGACACCCCGAGCCCCTGGACAACTTCTACTTGCTCGCTAGACCTGGTACATCGTCTTTGTCAAATTCGATATCATGACTGTGGGAATTTTTAAATCTTCATGTGCAACACTCAGACTAAGAACAAAATACACTGCCCATCTAGAATCGATATTAATCACGCCTCTATGGCTGCTGTCATACTACTGCATTCTCGATCGCGTCTCCCGTCGCGAGAGTCCTATCGGCCTGTTCCAATGGCCTCTATTTCCAACAAAAGAAATACTTCAAACAATGGGCATGGTCTCGGACACCCCAATGATATACTGACTAAATCTATAGATGCGCCCTATTCCGGAAGGCTTTCTCAAACCAAGCGCCTTTTCCCCGTGCCTGCCACATACCCGGCCCCAAATCCTAGGAACTTCTTCTCGACCGACCCCCTAAGCACTCATGCTGCTGTTCTCGTTCTGGATCTTTCCGAACTTTCTGTTCATCATAACGAGCTCGAGTCCGTTCTTTATGGGTGGCTCGCCGCGAAGCAGGAGACCGATCTCGCTCGGATGGAACCAGTTCATCCACACCATAACAAGGAACATGAGCGTCGCATCAAAGACGTAGACATACGCCTCGTTGGTCATCAGGTGACCCTTGTTGCCCTCCAGGTACTCGATGACTCGGAAGACACTACGCACCCAGATCAGAACGCTGGTGACGTATAGCGTCAGGAGGTAGTAGCGCCAGCGGACCTCGGGTTGGTGGGACTTTGCAGTCGGAACAAGCAACATCCTGCGGTGGAAGAGGGCGGCGACGACGATGAAGAAGCCAAAAACAGCGAGCTGAATGAAGAGGCCGACAATGATGACCTTCTCGCCAATATCCATCATACTGGCTCCGGATGCCATCATACCACCACCTGCACCATGCGTGTTAGCGAGTGCCTACTACTATAGGTTGCCAGAAAAGGGCAAAGGCGCATACCACTGGACTGCATCAAAAGCGACAGAACGTCTCCAGAAACGAAGACCTTTGTCAAGAAGCGCCTCTTAATCAAGGCATGGCTCTCACCGTCGGTCAACATGATGATGCGGCCTAGGATCATGTAGATGGAGGCTGCCATGAGGGCCGGAGCGATGAGGAGGAGGACATTCTGGATGATGTATGGGCCGAGAGTCCAGCATCCCGGTTCTTGTGTTGTGTTTTGCGCTCTCGCAGCGTATCCAACCACTTCACCTGTGCGGAGAATGGTGTAAGCTCATGATCAGGCCATAGACAAGGGACGGACGTGATGTCCTCTTCAAAGCACTTACACAGTCCACCGATAACAAATGCGGTCATGTACCATGTCTTTGTTCTGACGAGTTGGAAGATGTGAAGACCGGTAGTGAGGATGTAGACGACGCAGAAGAAGACTGCCGCTGCTGTGGAAGGCTCGAAACGATAGAACGACCATTCGGCGTTGACATAGTCGGGGGTACAGCCTCGTGCCATATCTGCGATCTTGGGGCTTCGCCGGGACGAGATGAAAAGGGACGTTCTCGGTTTTTGACAATGGATCGATGGAAGCACAGCAGCTAGCAGCTGTTCGAGGAAAAGAGTGTCCGAGAAGATCGAGATGGAATCGAAAGGAGCGTTGCTGGGATTTCAGATGCAGATTCTTCCGCTGGTTGACTGTCCTTCTAGGTAGGCAAAGAACTTATGATGATGGAAATATCTCACGCCTTAAGGTAGCGAAGCGGGCTATGCTTTTGTGCTTTTCACTTTACGACGGTAACGGCCCACGTTGTGTGGTTCATCCAATAAACAAGTCAGTTCAATCGTATTCCACCCCCTTAGACACAGCCACGCAAAAAACACCAGTACGGCTCATAAACGGCAAGTAAGAAAGACCCTTGGCGCGCCGTTCGCCAATCTTAGAGTCTACCGGCCAGTAGTGCTTCTGTATTCTGTCTGCTTGGGATGCGAGTATCACTGCGCCCCTCTCCGCGTCCCGAGTGTTCGTCTCTCCTCAGTCACTCCGCTGTAAGGAATTCTCGAAGAAATTTGGCAGTGGGCTTGACCCGGCCGTACAAAGACGTATTCAATACGGAACCAATCATGACTCTCCCAGTACGACTTGGCGTCCCTACCGGGCGCAGGGGCTGACGAAAGATACCGGGATCCGGACGCTTTTGGGCACCCGGGAACGGTGGGCCGTGCATGTCAAGCGCCGGAAGACCCACTTTACTAAGGAGCGGGCTCCGCAATTGCGAGTATTCGCATTGCTCGCTTCGTATTCCCGCATCTTGGCTCGCAACAACATCAACTCTGACTGACAACTGCAAAGCCGTCGGCTGGCGGATTACCCCGTGTCCACAGTCTTCCATCAACCTCCTTTCATTCTTATTCTATGTGGGCAAACCCGCGTGTTCGTACTCTCTGCTGTCTCTCCTTCTGCACGCTTGGTTTGACTGAGGTGCTGTTTGCGTTTTATGTAGTCGGTTCCAGTCTGAACAAACTTCTGTTGGCGTTAGATCCGCTCGCACCCTCGTACACCCACCCATCACCGAGATCTAAGGTATTGACACCTTACACGCGGATATTTTCTTGCATCAACGAAGGATCTGAGACGGAACGGCCACCCCTCGCCCGTTGTCTAATCTTCCTATCCAATGGCAACCCGTCGTTCCCATACCAAGTCCCGCACTGGCTGTAGGGACTGTAAGCGGAGGAAAGTCAAGGTAGGTGACACACTGACAGCACTCCCTCCCTCCTCCACCTAGCTGAGCTGCCGTGTACCGAACACGCGGTAAGGGGGTTGGATCCAATCAACCTAACCTGCAATCAGATAAGGACGTCCCTTCATCTGTGGTTCGTTTGCTGACAATCTGAACTTACCCCAGTGCGATGAAGCATACCCATCCTGCTTCAATTGCTCCAGACACGGCATCCCATGCAGTCTCTCAACATCACAGACCTCACCAGCAAACATCACCCCTCAAAGATCAACAACAACACCATCCGTCAACGGCCTGAGCCCAGAAGGACCCTACGACTTCCTAGACGCTGCCATCGACCATGACAGACTCCATTCTCCCGCCCCATCCATCGGCCACTGGGGCCACGGCCTGGAGCTAATGCACCACTTCACTGTCGTCACCGCAAACACCCTCTCCGTCCGCCCGGACATGCAACACGTCTGGCGCGTTACCATACCCGAGATTGGCTACGACTGCCCCTTTGTCATGCATGGCATCCTCACAATCGCGGCGCTGCATAAGGCGTATCTTATACCCTCGTCGCGGGGCAAGTACCTTGAACTCGCGACGTCACATCAGAATGCAGGCATCGAGGGCTTTCGAACGCAGCTCCACACTGTTAATGATACGAATTGGAAGCCATTCTTCTGTTTCGCGTCACTCGTCGTCTTCTATGTTGCTTCGCTTCCCGTGCGTATGGGACAGGATCTCGACTCCGAGCCTGATATTATGGGCGTCTTTATTTTTGTGCGAGGTATTCGGGCGATACTAGAACCATACCAGACAAAGATTATAAGGACGGAATTTGCGCCAATGGCGACAGGAATATGGACCATCGACCCGAGTGATCCATCATATAAGTGCGTCGACACCCTACTACCCGCAAGCCATCAAGGCATTCCCAGTCTCCCAATACTGACATACTGAACAGACTCCCACCCCTCCACAACTCCCCACTCCCACCCGACGTCTTCGAAGCAATCCAAGGCCTCTTAGATTTCTACACAGAAAACCTCCACGACAGCGCCCGTGAAGAATACGTGACGGCCGTAAGGGAGCTCGAAAAGGCAGTTTACCTCATGGCGCACGCCGGCGCCACCCTCGAGGTCGGCATGATTCTCTTCTGGCCGTATGTCATCTCGGAGAACATCATGGCCGACATACACGCCCTGAACCCGTATAGTCTGGTCCTGCTGGCGTACTTTTCCGTGTTTTTGTGTGTGCTCGAGCCGACGTTTTGGTTCTTGCGGGGGTGGTCGAAGAGGTTGTTTGCTATGGTTGATGCGCAGCTCGCGGGGCATCCTGTGTTGTTGGAGGCTGTGAAGTGGCCTCGGAAGCAGGTCTATGAGTTTTATGCGCATATATGACCGAGTGTCTTGGTTGTCTGCGAATATATATATCGATTCAAAAGAAGTTGACGCCATCTCCAATTCGACGATAATTGACTAGCTCTGAATGTCTTGATGTGGTTGAGTTTGATTAGCGTTGATCCCCTGGTCTCTCCCGTGCCACGATGGCACAAAACAGTCTAAGTGGTCCGGCACCCTTGCACCGAGCAGTCTTCGCCCATTTTTTGCGCCGTGACAGGTAGAATTCCGCCCAATCTTTCTACTCCGATTTCTTTGTGGCGAATCCCTCGTAGCTTCATATGTCTGACTACGTTCATGGTTGAGCCAGTAACTTCAATAATCTAATATTATGGAGCGAAAACGATTAAGGGAAGCAAGGGATAGACAGCTGGAAGGTTGATATGACTTGAGATGGCAAGAATCATGTACTCCAGCACTTGATTATGATTCGCGAAATAATAGGCTGTGGGACTGTTCATAAGAATACATAACTATGCTAGGAAAACTGGTACATCAGAAAGAACTTGGGCAATACTTCCTACTCTCCTGAGTCATGAGTCAATTTCTTCACGGGGAGTTGTCGTGAACTAGGCCTTGATTGGCTTTTCACCCATCCGAAAAAGGACATGACCTTCTCCTCAACTGCCTGGTGTATCTCATCAAAGTGTTCAATTTGTTCTGCCTCCCAGTCCTCCTTTTTCTCCACGTCCTCCTTATTCTCCTCAGCCTTTTGTTCACTCGACTAATTGTTTTCGCCACCCTTCTTGGTGCTGTTTGCGCTGTTCTGCCGCCTGTGCAGACTCTTCTGCCTCCCGATTTTCGGCCTCTTGTTTCACCTGCTTTGGGCTCAGCATTCGACGTTTCTCATCTTTTTTATTTCGTTCAAGCTTTTGAAGTTCTTCAAGTTTTGCAATGTACAGAACACCCGAACGGCGAACTAATCGAGATGATAATTCTTTCCCATGACGCGTGGAGGCCGCGATCTCCAAGTACCACTGCTTTGGCAGTTTGTCTAACTACAAGTTCAGTGGCTCTTCCCCATCCGTGACTATGGTTTTGTTTGAGGGAATGTCGGCAAGACGCACGAAGAATGCGTCTTCAAGTCCACATGCCTTAGTCAAGGAAGTCAAACCACTAGGTTCCTCTCCTTGTTGGTAATTGATGACTGGGGTTTGGGACGTTTCTACAAGGACGAAAGTCTCGTTCTTCTTCGACACATCTCTCTCCTTTGACACACCAAAGAATTGGTCTCTTCTTTTTCCATCTTTCTGGCCCATGACTTCTTCTCTCAGCTCCGCCCAAGCTTCCTTGAACTCTTCTCGATCGAGGTTCTCTTTGCTATGCACAACAATGCTGGCGCTGATGTTAGCATGCCTAGGGCACATGAGTCGGCAATCACATGTGGCGATTGATGGACAGAATGGGAGGCGTCTTACAGGTCCACGCTTTCAAGCCCCATCAAGTTCAAGTTATCAGCCAATATAGCTTTTAAGCTACTAGCCAAGGAATCGGTATTTTTCGTCGGCTCTTGGATTTTCAGTAACACAAAGAGTTTCTCCCTGGGAACCTTCCATCTGGCTTTTTCAATGACGTTGCCAAACGCCCTCATGCGTTCGCAGGGGGCATCCACGAAGTAACCATAGGCTTTGCGTTTGTGAAGCTTACTGAATCGTTCTTCCATGATTGGCGCGGTTAATCTCGCAACTTCGGGAGTGCTAGGACTGTCTACAGGATTGTCTGTGCCAATCTTATAGTAAAGTGTTCCGGTTTCAGGAATATCGAGCTAAAAGTGTTAGTACTCATGTCGCCCCGAGTGCAAAATCAACACCACTCACAACTGGTATAAAAGGACCCTTTTCCAGGGTGGACTGTGTTGAGGCCATCGAAGAGATTGAGAAGAGGCGTAAAAGAAAGCGGAAGAGGGAAAAAGAGGGAAAGAGCTGTGTCGATGGCCTGGCTGGCTGATGAGAGAGGAAAACCACAATGAGCCTTCACCGTTGATCTCAGAAATAATCAGACTATGAAACGAACTTCTGAATAGGTAAAGATAGGAGCATGAGGCAGATGCAGAAGCTGCTGAAATGTGTCTATGCTGTGACTCTGGTAAGGCCAAAAATGGGCAGACAGTTGCTTCGTATATAGTAACGCGACTGCATGCTTGCGTGCTCTTTGTCTGAAGATTTCCATCTCTCTTGAACATCAAAACTCCACGTATGCACGAACAGCGGTCTTGATTTTCTTTCAGCTAACTTGAAGACACACCCACCCCTTTGACTGAACACCGAAGTTATGTTCTCGTTAGAACAAGAATTCCTGGAGCCTTTTGGTCAAAGCAACTTCATCCACCTTTTCCTTTGACCTGCCTTGTCCCTGTGCCTTCTGACGCCACAAAGGAATTGTGCACACGCGCAGGCTGTTCCGTCATACTGAACAAGATATGAAAGGCACCCAATGCGAATTATTCTGATAGCCTGTTCAGCAAACAGTGTTCAAACTTGATTGCTACATCTGATATCAATGCAATGATAGCAATTTGTATTTCACTGATGTCGGAGTATGGCGGCTCGAAAGGCTCCATTTCAGAGAAGAAAGGAGGGAAGAGCAGAGGGCCGATATCAAGGAAAAAAGCGATGACGATAAGGCATCTAAGCTAGTTCGTTCCCGCTCATGCGCGTACAGTTTTGGGGACGCCCAGTGCGGGAAGCTGTCAAGTATCAAAGCGGCCTTGAAAGCGACTGCGAAACCTCCATACGCATATTCAATCATTCTGTTCTCAATTGGTCTACTTCTCGTTTTCATTAGCAATCCTTAACATGAGACCCTGAACGTATCTCTCTTCCTTTGCAGCTTTGACAACCCTGCTGAAATCCATTTTGGGATTTCGCTCGTGGGCAGTGTAGACAAATCATCCCAGACCTCCTTTCCGAAGGATGAATCAAGCGCTCTATGGAAATCATCCTAAGATTCGCCTTCTCTACCCACCGCGAGGTTGAGATATTGTCATTTCAGTGAATAATAAGGGAGCAATGACCCAGCAACGCTCCCTACATGCATTTGCCAACTACAATTCAAGTTCGATACGGGTGAGCAGGTTCCCGATCTTGACGCTGAGCGACGTCACAGAGCCAAGAAAACCATCTGCTTCTCAAGTACACTCACCATCGATGGATAGAAGTATATCTTCAAATGTGGGCATAAAACAAGGGTGATACTGTCCACATCGGCAAATTTAATGTAATCCGAGTTGTTCCCTATCTTGTCAAGTTGTTTCAGCCATGGCATCTGAGTCTTGCAATCTACTGCGAGCTGTAAGCGGGCTGACTTTTAAGGGTGAACACCACTAACTGTAGTAACCTCGTCCCTACTACAGTTCTTACCTCTCTACATTGCAAAGGATTGGTTGGAAACCGCGTGGCTGGTATTTCCTGGCTTCTCCTCAGGACCTAGGTACTCCACGCTTTGGCCATGCATGGAAAGAAGTTGAGGTGATATGCAGTCCAATGGGGGCCCAGACCATGGCTTCGGACGAAAGCAGCCAATCACGGGGACTTGGATCTGCATGACGCTGCAGACATCGGCCGAGAAACGGTGCGTAGCGCCCGTGCCCAGTCTGCACCTCCAAAGACGTCTTTCGGATCGTGAATACACTGGCCAAAGCCTGTAGTTTGGTGCGAGGCACTGGGCCTCTGTGAAATCAGTGCGCATGCAACTGGGGTAAATGGTTCTGGAACCCCCTTCGGTCGAGCTGTATATTACGCAGGTCAATGTCTGGACCGCAAATTAGGTACATGGCCAAGGCGCCGTGTCAGACCCTGTCTTACCCGATATACCGGCCGCAAAGGTCAGACTACAAATGCGCATGTCAGCTTACCTCTAGATGATCAGTATGGGAGACTTCAGCTCTTTTCACATGAGTAGCTTGGGTTCTCATGTGAAAGTCGGTGGTTGACGCCGCATGGCTGGTCTGAAAGGCAGACTATAAAGGATAGGCTTTGGCCGAAGGCTGTTGACATAATCGCCGACTGAACTTCATTGACTAACTGACATCAGCGCTACACAGAGCCGTTGAATCTTGATAATTAAGCGTCAAGATCTGTGATGGACCCGGTGGTCTGGTCAGGACTTGGCTGCGGCTGGATCCCGTTTGCTCACGCAACCACTCGTTGCACGTGGATTCTTCTACTGGCATATACGGCGAACAGACATCGCATTTGCAGTACGGCCTGGGTGAAATTGATAGAGAATGAAAGACCTCAGGACCCATGCCACTGGACGCGCTTTGTTCCCGTGTTTCACGATCGAACCCTTTCCCGTTTGTGCTTCTTTGTCCACGTCCATGCGGCTATCTTTACCTTCAAACTACTTCCATTTTGGAAATGGTGTCTCTCTCATTGGTTCGAGGGTAACGTTGGCGTCAATGTGTAAGCGCGCTAACAGCCTTAGCTCTGTCGGACCTTCACAGCCGTCACCGAGAATACAATGTCCGTTTCGCATGCCGTTAGACGCTAGAGACTTCGGATTCCGTAAGCTTCCCAAGCTGTCGACGACACCCGATCTACAACACTTTGCAGTACAACGAAGCCTGGCTAAGAGGCATGTCAGCGGCGATGACAGTCCAAGTGCCTTCGGCTTGCCCATGGGGTAACCATACCACCGGGGCCGACATGATGGCTTGAGCTTGCCACCGGACTTTTTGATGCGTCTAGATCGGATTGGAAGTTCATGTGAGGAACTGAGAATGTCTGAACAGAGCAGGGATTTTGAGTTGTTCTTTACATCTATAAAGACGATATATTCACATCCAGAATCTTGACTTCTTGGCATCCTCTATCGGACACCTTCCACAGCAACCACTGCCAAGACACTGCACGTCTTCCTTCCCGTCGGCCGCATCATCACCCCATCTCTCTTCATAATGCACACTTCAAACCTACTTCTCGCTGGCCTCTTGGCACTCGCCAATGCTGCAGTCCTCCACCACGCTGAAGATGCCTCTTACGCTGCCGTCGTCGCGAAGG